TTAATATAATCTAAATGAAATCTAGTTCTTAATTATTTTTCTGCAAATAGAAACAACACAGAAGACTTCATTTTAGTGCTGGGGAGATAGTTCAGTCAGTACAGTGCTTGCTGCACAAGCATGAGGACCTGCAATAGATTCCCAACACCCACAAAAAAAGAGGCATAGCAATGTGAATGGAGGGATTTTCATAGGGTCCAACCTCTAAATGAAGAGCTATAGACAATCAGTGGATATGGAGAGAGGGAAAATCAGCTTTCTACAGGAAAGGGCTGCCTGATAAGTTATCTAGTCCCAAGGGGTCAGCCCTAAACACATGTACACATGAGCACCTCTAAGTGGACTCAGTGCACTATATATGTATGTATGTGTGTGTATGTATGTGTGTATTTGTAAATGTATATATGTGTAACAATAATCAAAGATGAAGACAAAATATTGAGAGGGAATGGAAAGGATCTGGGAGGAGTTGGAGGGTGGACTGGGAGGGGTGGAAATGATGTAAATACAGTGCTCATGTCTGAAATTCTCAGAAAAACAATCCCTTAAAAAAATTTGTTTTAAAGCCAGACATGGCAGTCTATGCTCGCGATCCCAGTATTGAGGAAGCAGGTATGAATGCCTCCCTGGGACTCACTGGCTACCCAGCATACTGGTAATTGGTGAGTCTCCGGTCCTAGTAAGAGAACTCTATCTCAAAAAGTAGGGAGGCCTGTTTGATTCAATAGGATACTTGCACCTCCAGACCGAGCCTTCCCAGACCTGTCATGATTAATGCATCTTTCAACTCTTACTAGAGACGTTTCCTTATGCAGCAGATGGTGATTAACACAAAGACCCATAACTGGCCAATATGCAGAGAATAAGAGCTACAGAGTGCTTATCCCTGAGTAGGACACCTACATCAAACTTCTGCCTCCCAGCTGTCCGGGATCGTTGTAGAAGATGGGCCAGAAAGATTATAAGAGCCAGAGGAGGTAGATGACCCACAAGGAAACAGTTTTCCAGACAGCTGGTAGCTTACTCATGTGAACTCACAACAATGGTGACAGCATGGACAAGTCCCACATAAGCTCAAGCAGACAAAATTCCCAGCATAGAACTGGGGAAGTGAGTACTGACCCCAACTCTACCTGAGAAATTGTTGGCAACCAGTGGCTGCTAGGAGTTTAAGAGTTTGACTCTTGATAGTTTAACCAGGCTCCAGTGATGGACCCACACCAAAGGGACACAAATTTGACTCTATAGGGATATATATATATATATATATATATATATATATATGTTTATATTAGAGAAAAAGAAACTTAGTGTCCCCAGGAAAAGAAGTCTCACAACATAAGGATAAATTATTTGTTAATGCTATTATGTCTCATAATTATTTAAGGAAAAAAAAGA